TTTTTGCAGGAAACCATCTATGATATGATATGATACGTCCATGCCACTATATACCGCGGTGAAAGATACAGCTGCTGCATTCAGGAAATTATATAGCCAGCGCGTGGGAACAGAGCAGGCTTGATGCAGCATGCTGAAAACACATCGATCGATCGTTCGTTCGTCGTCGACCTAGCCAGCCGGCTTCTCCCTCACGACCCCGGGTTGGTACGCGCTCAGCATCACCGGCACATTTTCTATCTCCTCCCCCTTATATCCTTGCCCTCTTCCCGGGGTAACTCCCGGCCGGTATTTCACACCCACCACTTTGACGTACGCATACTCTTCGGCCCGAGCCAGCGAGCGGGCAACCTCTAGCGTGTGTGCGTGTTCATCTTCCCCGGCCGGCGCGCCGGCTCCTCTCCTCTTGTGGTGCACCGCGGGCTAGGGTTATCTAGGGTTTTATACCTCGTGCGTGTTGGTTGATCGGCCGCTTGGTGATTAGATGGAAGGATCGGGGGCAGGAGGAGGAGGAGGGGGAGGGGAAGGGGCGGTGTCGAAGAAGAAGAGCTCCAAGGAGGGGGAGGAGGAGAGCCTGCCGCCGGGGTTCCGGTTCCACCCCACGGACGAGGAGCTCATCACCTACTACCTCCGCGGCAAGATCGCCGACGCTGGCTTCACCGCTAGGGCCATCACCGAGGTTGACCTCAACAAGTGCGAGCCATGGGATCTCCCAGGTAACTATACCCAGTCAGAAATGTTCTTGAGCGCACGTCAGTGCATGCGTCCGTCTATGCATGTATGCACGACCAGTTCCGTTAGTTCCTTCGACGGGTGTTTCCATGGTTTTGTTTTTCTCCCCTGCCCAAGCAGCATGTATAAGCTGTGCCCTTTTAAAAGACAAATTGACTAGACTTCATACGCGCGTCGATCATGTTTTTCAAAAGCTATATAAAAGCCATAAACAACCTAGCGGTTTTCCTCGAGAGCATATGTGCAGGAGGACTTCATGCATAGATAAATTAATCAAGAATGGCGGATTCTTACAAGTTTAGACAATATATTGTAGAAATTTTGGTTGAGCACAATATACTTAAATATTTAAAACCTTCGTGTTTTGCGCTGTCGTCTCAAGATTATATGTGTCCCTCTCTCGTGGTTTCTTTTTTGGATAATGGAAACAGACAAATCCCCCAACTTCCGCACTTGAAAATGATGGAAACTATTACCATCGAACAACTAATTGGATGTTTGCATGGCTAAACAAATAAATTAAGAAAGGCGGATTCTTACAAAGTTCTACACAATATATTGAACGTACTGATTTCAAGCTTCAATTGTTACTTAACATGCACTCTTCAATTTCTTGTCGTTTGATACAATTTGTTTGGTTAGCTTCTAGCACAATTATACCTTCAACTGTATGATAGTACATGCATGAATATGCTCTTCTCATTTATTTTATTTTGCGTTATCGACTCGAGATTATATGTCTCCCTCTCAGACAACTCCCCCAACTTCTGCACTTAAAATGAGCAGAACTCTACTAATAGTTGTATAGTTGGAAACTATTACTAGCAAACAATTAATGAACTGGATGTTCTATTCTCTCCATGTATGCATGCACCTAGAATTACGATAGAATACTCTTAACCTGTATACATTAACTAACAATTATATGTGTATCATCGTCAATTGATTGAAATCCAGAGAAGGCGAAAATGGGCGAAAAGGAGTGGTACTTCTTCAGCCTAAGGGACCGCAAGTACCCGACCGGCGTGCGAACAAACCGTGCAACTAATGCTGGCTACTGGAAGACTACCGGGAAAGACAAGGAGATATTCACCGGGCAACCGCCATCGGCACAAGAGCTAGTCGGGATGAAGAAAACCCTAGTCTTCTACAAGGGGAGGGCTCCAAGAGGCGAGAAGAGTAACTGGGTCATGCACGAGTACCGCCTCCACCTGAAGCCGGCCTCCAAATCAAACAAGGTATATATGACATCTCTTCAATTTTTCTTCCAGAATATGCAATTTGTTTGTAATTTGCGCTAAGCGATTGCCATGCTAATACGATCATTCTATGTTTTTAAATTTGACTTGATTTATGTATTCTAGGATGAATGGGTGGTGTGCCGCATCTTCGCCAAGAGCCCGGGGGTGAAGAAGTACCCGTCGAGCACCAACGCGCACTCCCGGTCCCACCACCACCCGTACACGCTGGACATGGTCCCGCAGTTCCTCCCGACGCTGCTGGGGCACGACCTGTTCGGCGGCGGCCGCGGGCACCACCACCCCTACATGACCCCCGCCGACCTGGCGGAGCTCTCGCGCTTCGCCAGGGGCACGCCGGGGCTGCACCCGCACATCCAGCCGCACCCCGCCGCCGCCGGCTACCTCAACCCGCCGGGCCCGTTCACGCTCTCCAACCTCAACCTCAACCTCGGGGGCCCGTCGCCGCAGCACGCCCTCCACCACGCCATGTCGATGCCGATGGGCCAGCAGCAGCAGCAGCAGCAGGCGGGCGGCGCCAACGGCCAGGCGATGACGATGGAGCAGCACATGGCCGCGGGGCTCGGCGGCGTCCCGGCCGCCGGAGGGGACGGCGGGTTCGGCGGGGAGGGGCATGCTGCAGGGGGTGCTGGCATGAGGTACCAGAACCTGGACGTAGATCAGATGGTGGAGAGGTACTGGCCTGGTAGCTACTGATGAGTGTACGTAGGTTGTGTACGTGAGACGCCTGGGGTGTCAGGCGATTGTTGACTACAGTACGTAGGAGCAGGGCGATTTGAGTGATGTTTAATCTAGTCTCTTCGTTGTATCATCCATCATCTTCTCTGTTGGTTGTTCTTTGAGCATTTCAGGTTAGCTTTGGTCGTCCGCGCGCCTTGTACACAGACTGTTTGCCTTGCCTAACTGCGCGCTTGTATACATTCAGGATCAGCAGTGAGTTTATAAATAGTACTGGTATACTGTACTTGTTATGCGCGTCTGTGCCAGAGTTAAACGTGCACGCTGCGGATTTCTGAAATCGATTTGTTATTTCGGAGTTCACCACGAATTCAGGACTCACTGGAGAAAACCTAGTGACAGAGCCCTCCTGATCCCCTCCCTCCTCGACCCCTCTCCTCGAGCCGCTGCCGCCCCTCTCCTTGATCCCCTCCCTCCCGATCCGATCTAAAGTTTCGAGCCGCCGTTGCCACTCTCCTCGCTATTGCCGGAGCTCCGCGGGGCAAAGCCGAGGTGGGGGATGATGGCGACGGCGGGACCTTCCTCTGTCATGGCTCCGGGATGCGGTTGCGGTGGAGATCCACATGGGTGTCCTAGACGTGTGTGTTGTCCGGCGTCGACGACGCAACGTTAAGGGCCCTCCGCCGTCGATGGCTCACCCATGCGGGGCGGTGGTTCCGGGCGGGGGTGTGGCTCCAGTCATGCGGTTTCCCTAAGGCAGACCTCACCCACGAGCGTGCTGGATGACGGAGGAGGTTGATTCGGTGGTCTAGACAGGGAAGGGCGTGAATTTGCCAACGAAAGGTTGGTTCAGCCTCGAACAGAACCGTCACAGGCGGCGCCCACGAGCGTCCTTACCTCCTTCGAGACGTTGTGGGGCGATTCGCGTTCCCTGCGTGCTCCCATGGAAACCCCAAATTCAGCTTTTCCGTTCGTGCGTCGTCACCCCATGGGCCATCATCTTTGGGGTTGTACATCAGCCGGAGGGACTAGTGTTTGGCTTGGTGGCTGGGCTCAGGTATCCGTATCGACGACAACGAGTCTTGATGGCAACGTGCAGCAGAGCCCCGATGCTGGATAATGGGTGCGAGCAGGAGGTTGGCATTGTCCGCCATCGTCGACGGCATAAAGGTCTAGCAAGATCAGTGTATTGATTGCTCGTGAAAATGGGATTGTGAAAAAAAGGTGACGACGAGTTGTAGACGTGTGCATGCGGTGCACGCTGAAGGTTTGCTAAACCAGTTGATGCTCCTAACTAGCCATCGGGTGGCTTGACGAGGCCACCAGATTTCTTGATGTGCATGCACATCATCAATCTTATAGGTAGGGAAAGATATCAATCTTGTAAGTAAGGGAAGATGGCTTTGGGTAGATCTACGTATTTATTTTATAACGTCATGTTGAATAATCCAATAAAGAGGAACATCATCAATCTTGTAGGTAGGGCAACAATTTTCACCAGGAAGATGGCTTTAGGTTGATCTATGTATTTATTTTATAAGGTTATGTTGAATAATGCAATAAAGATGGTTGTGTGCATCACAAAGGCCAAGGGTAATCCTCCTTTTCAGGAAAAAAAATGGAAACAACCTAGTACACTACTCCAGCGTAAAGCGACGTTGAATAGTTTTAATCTGAACTTTCAGTGACAAGCGATGGTACGTACGTTAGGAAGTTGTGAGCACGGATTGCCCCAAGTACACTCAAAACGCGCTAACAGCTGCAACATAATAAAGTGTCCACTAAAACGAATATCTGCATATTTAACCTCGTAAACCCTACTTAGCAACGTGATCACGCAGAAACGGCCGATACAATACATGGGGGACAAAATGGAGACACGGTTTGCGTGCAGCATAACTCAGGGTATATATTACACATGATTTAACCAGGACCAGGCGTCTCCTAATTTGTATCCAGCAGACTCGTCGTGAATGAATAATGTCCCATCGTACTTGATCTGCACAGTGCAAAGAGAGTTCAAAGGCCCGGTACAAAACTGACATGTGAATGATTTAGCACTTGCTTCACAGTTGTATGGAACAATTCAATATTCGAAGTATTAATCAAGGCTCAAGAAAAACATGTTCTGTTGTATCAAATATGAATTAAAAACTTATGTATACTTCAATGTTCTTGTGAAAATAAGAGGACTGTTCCTTTGACCCAAACCTTTTGATGCCAACAAAGGCCTAGATAGTGTGGGATTTGGATCAGATGTTACTGGTAACAAAGGAAGAATGTGGTACCTTCAACTACAGTGCTGCAGAACATAGGCAAACAGTCTACGGTCTACTTGTCTGCATGTCGGCGCTTGTGTCTCCGATGGCCATTGACCAAAACTTTGCCCTTATCACTCCGTGGGATTTTCTTCTTCTTGGTGATGCTGCATGAGAAATGGAAGGTTTCAGATCGAACAAGTACAGTCACAATTCACCTAAAGCCATGCCAAGCAACTATTAGTTGAAGCGTTTTAAATACACTACTGACCAGCAGACTTCTGTTAGGAGTATGTACAGAACATATACGGGCATAAGCAGCCAAGCAGCAGCCTACCAAGAGAGATAAGATATTTTAGACCATTTTATTTTAATCAGTAGAAACACATGTTATAAATTGACAGTTCAGTTTGTGCTTACCAGAAACCACACCAACTCCCCATTCACAAATTGTTTTAATAATTCATGTTGGTGCATGTAATCCAAGATAGTTACCTGAGCCTGAAAAGGAAAATTGCTTAGATTATTAGATACATGACTTGGATCTTCAGGCCATTTTATTGCAGTTGCTAATAGCAGAGAGATGTAGTATCGTTCAAGGTAAGTACGAAGGTTAGTTAACCATGATGCTGTTTCATGCAGCCTATTTCACCCACTAGCGTATACACAGTTCAACACAGGTTAGAGCAATTCAGCAGTAGTAGTAGCATACAAAAAGTAGTGTCAAAAAATGTCTTATATTTTGATATGGACGGAGTACATAATAAGTTTCTGGATGAAGACAGTATTTGAACCAACCAATTACCTAAGGTGCACAAAGTTTATATTTATTTTTTGAAAAAATGTAAAAAAAATCCCAGCATTGATAGAAAAGGAGTTTAATTACAAGCCTCCCGCAGCAGTCACATGCGACTACAGCAGGGCAAGTGGCAGCCCACAGCTGCTTAAGCCAAAACCCAGGCACTAGCTTCAGTTTTGATGGCATCCAAGAACTGTGCAAGGTTGGGGTGCACGCCCTTGGGGGAGGAACAAGAGGGAGGGTGTATCTCCAAGAAATTCTGGTAGGTCACTACTCCCTCTGTATCAAAATATAAGACGTTTTTTGACACTGCCATAGTGTCAAAACAGAGGGAGTAGTATTTACCAAATAACCATACAGAAGGCCAAAGTGACATTATTAAACTATAACTAACTGTGAAGTTATATATATAGGTCTAAAAAATCTCATTAGATTGATTGATGAAATAATTCTATTAGAGGGCTGCAAAATTTACCAATGATACAGTGCAATATGCAGCAGAGAAAAATGCAGATACAGTGCTCAAGGATTATATAAGAATATATGAAAACAATAAAATTCAGCCAAGTGTTCAATAACTCAAAACAATAAAATTAACAATAACAGAAGCATAAAATGTCTAAAACAACAAAGCATTAATATTTAACTGGAAATGAGAAGCTGGAATACTTGAGATAACAAGAAAATTTAAGAGAAGAAATACCTGCTGATGGTATAAAGTAGCTGTGTCGCGAAGCTTTTCATACTCCTGGCCTGCCTTTTCAGTGTAAGGCTTCAGGGTGGTTTTAAGTTTGTCAACATGTGGTTTACTGGCCTTAGCAACTTGATCAATATAAGGTTTGGATAACTTCTTGGCTTCCTGAAAAAATATAATCAAGCGACATCAATTTACTACAATGACAACACTATGGCCTAAGTGCAATTGCTAAACAAAGAGGATCTAGTGTACCTGGAAATAGGGATCAGCAAGCTCATGTGCTTTCACAACATGAGGTGAGATAGCATCCTTTGATGCTTGATAAAGCTCTACTGATTTTGCTGAGACCATTTGCACATAAGGTTCTGCAATTTCCTTTGCAGTAGCCCAATTTTCTTTAATGACAGGAATCCATTTCTTCAATGATAAAAAAAGCATTGTTAGTGAAAATGAATAAAGATGCAAAAACTCAGAAACATCATGTGATACTTGCCTCACATGACATCCATATACAATAAGAATTGGCCATAAACACATGCATATATGACGTTTTTTAACATTTCAAATAAACTCTATGCTATTTTCTGACCCACAATCCCAGGAACAAGAATATTACCGCCTTAGCAGTTTCTATATGGGGTTCAGCCCATTCCTTCGCCTGCACTGTTTTCTCTGATGCCTGCAGTGATTTAATTGACAGGTTATAAACAAATACATGATGTGTTCAGCTTGGCATATTTCATAATCAAAATAAAAGCATAAATAAGCTAGGAGGCACCTTTTGCAATAAATTGTTGACAGCAGGTTTTCCATGTTCACTCCAGTGACTTGACATCAACTCCTACATGATAACATGATGAGTGTGTTGCGAAAAAGCAAAGTAAGAAGAGGCATAGTGCTTAGGTTAACTACTCCACTTATACCATATAGTGAGCTGCATGTGCTGCTAACCAAGGTGGCAACCATGCTCCATGAACCTGCCAAAAAGTAACAATCAGTAAACTACTCGCCACAATAATCACTTGTTAGATGAGGTTCAAATCATGTAAAGTGGAAGGATGGATTACACCCATGACAGGCATCGTCGTCATTATCATCCTTATCAGGAAGTTCTCAATGTACAAGTCACAACATGTGCCAGACAACAAAGATGCACAGATACACATCACACTCAGGTTCAGTGATTAGAAGATACTATGTTATCATTATGTAAAACTTCATATAGTTTACACCAGGCTGAGCTGGCAACTAAGTTGCATTTGAAATGTATTTTTGAAAACAACACTGACATACTGCACTAAGAGTGTGGAGCAAATAGGAAAAGGCTAATACAGTCTAGAATCCGTCATGTTACCTTACTGACATATTCACATGACAGCAGCTACAACAATAGAATGAAAATTACCTCTCCGAGCTGCTCTGATTTTGCTGTTGCTTCTAACTGCACCTTCATCAGCTCCTCCTACAAACACCAAAACAAAAGATTGAGGAGAATGCATCATGAAACTGCATAACAAAAATGTACCACTGTAGTCGCATATATCACAAACCTCTGCAGCTTTAAGAGCATTTTTAGTCTTCTGAATCCTAACCTTTTGCTCGCCGCTTGTCTTTTGAAGCTATTAAAAAAAACATTATCAATTTGAGGACAGTATTCACCTAACAAAAAAGGTGGATTCAAGGGATATACCCTTGATTTCCCCGAAAGTCATGCAGGACAGCAGGATATGAGCCTTATCCCATTTTTGGTTTCACAACTATAACGTTTTAATAGGGAATGAGGCTCAGCTCTCCCTAAAATTAAGGAGATGATAATATATCATGCAGCCTGTTATATAATACTACGGAAATTCTCACTGTTTTCCAAAACATTTTCTTCCCTCAAACAGTATCATCATCAAATACGCTAAAACATTCCAGATTCTTCTTTAGAATTTACCCTTACTTTTGAGAAGTGTGCTGTAGCAAAGTTTTATATAGCATTGGAATCACATACAAAAAAGAAAATAGCAGCATGAACCATCGTTAACCCACTATGAGTCTGTAACAATGTATCGATCTCCTTTTTAACCATACCAAATTTATCATGTAATAAATGCAGAAACGGCAACAATGACGACTTAATCGGTGACAGCACCACAAGAGTTTATCAAAGGATTGGGCAATTACAAGCTTGTCCAAGAATTGTTACCTAAGTGTAGAAAAATAAAGATGCACATTAGCACAACAGACGACCACAGTCGAATACTTACTCTACCCAGCTTAGCATTCAGCTCTTGCACCTTCTTCTCTGCATCGGTGGCTCTAGCCTCCATGGTCGCCTTTTTGTTATTCTGTGCTTCTATGTCCTTCTTGAGCTTCTCAATCTGGAATAAGAAAGATAAGAAACCACATAATCCTAATTGTTGCACTCAAGTTTTAGACGTTTCATACACCCAATACCTGCTTCTCAAGCTCAATAGCCCGGGCATTGACCTTGCCTGCCTGCTCCTTTGCAGCTATAGATCCCTTTGACTGCATATGTAGCAACAGATGAGCATAAACGCTTTATCAGGGAGCAGGAATATGGTACAATATATTGTCCTTCACGAGATGGGTCACCTGGAGGGAAGTTATCTCATTCTGCAGAGTAGCAATGTTCTGTGACATCTCCCCAGTTACCTTTTCCAGTGTTTCGATGCCGCCGTCCTTGCTATTCAGCTCCAGTGTCTGTGCTGCAATGCTCGACTCTGCAAGGTGACAATAGCTGCACTGTTTCAGAAAGGATCAAGTGGCACAAACATGTTGCAATGACTAGAAAATGATTTTACTCAAACAAAAATTCTCGGGAGAATTGATTATAACCCCCCCCCCCCAGCTCGTGTGCCTTGGATCTTAAGCCCCTTTCTTCGTCTCCCTTCCTTCTAACCCCCTCAGTTCTGTTTCGTTGTTGCTAATTTCCCCCTTTGGCATAGTTATCTCTTCATTAAGCTAATAATCCAATATATTAGTCTAATTATATTCTGAAATGACCACTGCGCCCTCGTATGTTTTCTTCAAGTCGCAAGACAGAGAAGTCGCTCGTTCGTTTATGTTTCTGCTCGTCCCGTCAGTCGCGAGACAGAGATGGCTTGCTCGGCCATGTTCGGCGTCACACTGGACTAGGTGCCAGGGAAAACGGAGGAGGAAGGGAGATAGTAGAGTTGGGTGCGCGCGTGCTCACTCCGGTTCGTTCGGTAGCAGCGGACGACCAGGAGACGCGGGGTCGACCCGGAGGCGGGCGGGCGGGCGGGGCCATGGATTGGGGCCAGGAGCGCGCCCGGCAGCCGGTTGGAGTAGAGATTGGTGGTGACCGGCGGAGCTGAGGCTTGGCGGCGGCCGGCTGAGCTGAGGTCTGCGTCGATCTGGGGCTGGGTAGAAACTGAAGAGCAGTTCTGTCTAATCAGATGCCCTTTGGTTGGTTATATATTGACAAATATGTTAAGGATGCCAAAGGGGGGAGTTAGCAACAACAAGACCGAACTGGGGGGCTTAGAAGGAAGGGAGACGAAGAAAGGGGCTTAAGATCCAAGGCACACGAGCTGGGGGGGTTATAATCAATTCTCCCAAAATTCTCAAGTGACTTGACACCGTCTGTTTCACATTGTAACAAAAACTGTTTCAACCAAAGACATGCCCATGGAGAACCTCAAACTGAACCAAACCGGAGTAATTATGTTCTTAACGCTACAAGCTCCTTCATGCATTTCAATGGTAGTTCAAGCAAGGGGCACTGGTTCCATGGCGAATTCCAGTTAGACTAAATGGCAGAACTGGCTCTCTATTCAGCGACAAACGAAAAACATAGGACTGGAGGAGCAACAACGAAGCTATTGCCCAACATTGCCACCAATTAGCCTGAAGAATTTCCTCTAGCCTGCATCTATGGATCCCTATTCAGCGGCCTTAACACAATCTCTCTAAGCCACCGACCAATATGTCCACTAATTACCAAATCCTTCCCCTATCTCGTCAAATCGCAGAAGCGCCTAGTTCGCCAGACCAAATTGCCCCCAAAACCCTAGCAAACCCCAGCGAAGCCGCTCGAAGCAGCATCAGAAATCCCAACCAACCACACCCACCCTCCCCAGAACCGAATCGAGCGGAGCAAGACGCACGCACCTAGCGCGGCGACCTTCGCCCTGAGCTGCCCCAGCTCGGCCGCGAGCACCGCCTCCTCCTGGGCCCTCGCCTTCGCCGCGATCTCCTCCGGCCGCACGTCCCCCGCTGCCGCCGCCTCCTGCGCCGCCGCACCGGCGACCGCGAGAAGCAGCACCAGCAGCGCCGCCGCCGCCGCGAGCAGCCCCGGGATCCGCATCTCGCAGATGGTGAAGTGCTCGGGGCCGAGGAAGGAAGGAGGAGAGTAATAGGAGTGCTCGCCTCGTAGCCTCGCTCCTCGGAGGCAGCAAGCCCAGATCGTTTTTCAACCGAGTTCAAGAGGGCGCACGTGGGTGCGGCGCTGGCTGCCGTGCCGAGGGAGGGGAGGGACAAGGGTGCGCGGCACGCGCCGCGTGCATCTGGGTTGTATCACTGCCCGGTGGGCCTGAGGATCCCGCTCCTTTAGGGCTTGTAATGCAAGATGTGTTTAGGAAGGTGCTTACAAAATTAGAGCATCTTCTCCCTTTAAAGTTTTTCTTATTGGCCTTCTGTTGAGGATTGAACAAAGGTGTAAAGAGGCATCGGATCTGGAGCTTTCTAAACTTATATTACATAAAGCTTGCTATATGATCTGGCGTGACAAACCAACACTCTAACCGACTGAGCTATTTCCCCTTTTGTAACTACTGTCAATTCACATCTTGACTGCCCGACTCATTTTGAAAACACTGGAAGCTGTTGATCCCAACATAGCATTCAAGACAATTGTTCCCTCTTCGGTCTCCCTCCATCCCCTTCGTTTGTTTTGGGTCTCACCGCACGCACTTACTTAATGAGTGAGTGAAGATCTTCCTTCCCCCTTGTGTTTTGCCAAGGACTGAGTCCTCACTTGTGGCGGAAAAAAGTCTATCATCCCACCTGGCCTAACCGGGGGGACAGTCTACAAGAAGCCGGCGAAGCTTTAGCCATTGGACCACATCCATCCATCCTCTTACCTAAAGACGCTTTTTTCTTGTTCGTTCTTCGAATTACGCTAGTGGAGACTAATCCTTCCGGCTAATGAAGATACTACCCCAGTCTTTCCATTCATTCCTAGTGGATTCTTCTTATCCCTTTTCATTGAACGGACCAAGTTCACCTATACGAGAGTGAGGAATAGAAATCCTACAATCAACTTCCCACATTTGATGTCCCGTTTGACGATTCTATTGCGTCTTTAGAAAAAAAATGGAGAAGGACAATGGTCGTTAGTCAGAAAAGCTATAACTATCAATTCAAATTTTGAATGAATAAAATCTCCCCAAGTAGGATTCAAACCTATGACCAGCCAGTTAACAACCGACCGCTCTACCACTGAGCTACTGAGGAATAACGGACTTAAGGAAGGTGACTCGCGTTCTTTGGCTCAACCAACCACCGACCGAAAATCCAAAATGTGTGTCACTTTTTCTCTTTCACATAAACCGGGAGAAAGGGTGACGATAGCAATCCCCTTTGCCTCCCCGGCCGGGGCAGGACAAGGGTGAAAGATCGTGGATGTCGTCTAGAGGGGGGGTGAATAGGCACTTTAAAATAATTACGGTTTAGGCTTGAACAAATGCGGAATAAACCTAGCGGTTAATTTGCCAAGCATAAAACTTAAAACAACTAGGCTCACCTATGTGCACCAACAACTTATGCTAAGCAAGATAAACTACTAGGTGATAGCAAGATATATGACAAGAAACAATATGGCTATCACAAAGTAAAGTGCATAAGTAAAGAGCTCGGGTAAGAGATAACTGAGGCACGCGGAGACGACGGTGTATCCCGAAGTTCACACCCTTGCAGATGCTAATCTCCGTTTGGAGCGGTGTGGAGGCACAATGCTCCCCAAGAAGCCACTAGGGCCACCGTAATCTCCTCACGCCCTTGCACAATGCAAGATGTCGTGATTCCACTAAGGGACCCTTGAGGGCGGTCACCGAACCCGTACAAATGGCAACCCTTGGGGGCGGTCACCGAACCCGTACACTTTGGCAACCCTTGGGGGCGGTCACCGGTACCCGTCAAATTGCTCGAGGCGATCTCCACAACCTAATTGGAGACCCCGACGCTTGCGCGGAGCTTTACACCACAATGATTGAGCTCCGAACACCACCAACCATCTAGGGCGCCCAAACACCCAAGAGGAATAAGCTCAAGGGTACCAAGCACCCAAGAGTAATAAGCTTCTCAACTTGTAACTTCCACGTATCATGTGGAGAACTCAAACCGATGCACCAAATGCAATGGCAAGGCCACACGGAGTCCCCAAGTCCTTCTCTCTCAAATCCCACCGAAGCAACTAATGCCAGGGAGGAAAATGAGAGGAAGAACAAGAAGGAGAACACCAAGAACTCCAAGATCTAGATCCAAGGGGTTCCCCTCACAAAGAGGAGGTGATCGGTGGAAATGTGGATCTAGATCTCCTCTCTCTTTTCCCTCAAAAACTAGCAAGAATCCATGGAGGGATTGAGAGTTAGCAAGCTCAAAGAAGGTCAACAATGGGGGCAAAAATGAGCTCAAGAGATTGGGTTCATTGGGGAAGAAGACCCCCTTTTATAGGTGGCAAAAAATCCAACCGTTATGCTCACAGTCTGCACAGAGCGATACTACCGCTCCAAGGAGCGGTACTACCGCTAGGGCAGAAGTACCCCTTTGAAAAACAACAGCGAGGAGGCAAAAGGCCAGTAGAACCGCTAGAGCGGTACTACCGCTCGTCCTCACGGTACTACCGCAAATGGTAACGGTACAAAAAAAAATACTTCCGTGCCTACTTCCGCTGAGCAAAACACGAGATTTTGGTCCGGAGCGGTACTACCGCTCAGGAGCCGCGGTAGTACTGCTCTGGAGCGGTAGTAAAAAATTACATCCGCTCTAGCCACGGTAGTACCGCTGCAGCCTTTACAAAAACAGCCATAACTTTTGCAAACGGACTCCGAATTCAACGAAACCAAGCTTGTTGGAAATCTAACGACATGGGCTAACACAATATTGATAGAAATATTAATAAGAAGCAAATGAGAAAAGGCCCATAAGAAAATGGTGAGAACCCTTCCTCGGAAAAGACCGGTAAAACCTCCAATACCAAAAACATCATAGAAGATGCATGCGAACTCCGTTTTCGACAAGCTTGTCATCAAGATGACCATAAGCTCTAAGAATCACAAAGAGAACCAAACAAGAACCAAGAAAGATGATGCAAGGATGCAATGGTTTGATCTCTCTACGAATGATACGATCAAGCTACTCATCGAGAGCCCCCCTTGATAGTACGGCAATCGATCCTATGACCCGGTCTCCCAACTACCATCATGAGACCAGTAAAATAGAAAACCTATCAAGGGTAAACCTTTGCCTTGCACATGTTCCACTTGAGCTAGATGATGACGATCTTGACTCCCTCAAGTTGGACCACCTTTCTTGATTATGTTGGCTCGATGAAGACTAGTTGATTGCTCCCCAATACTCCACTATGGGTGAGCCACTCTTCCGCACATCTTCACAAGTCCATTGTCACCATAATGGACGGCAAGCTTCAAGCATTTGATCTCTTCGTGATGCTTCACTTGAATTTGCACACCGCAACCTAACCCCACAAAGAACTCCCACGAAGACCATGGGTTAGTACACAAAGCGTAATGGACAATGCTTACCATACCATGGGATCACTTGATCCCTCTATACATCGTGTACGCTTTATGTGTTGATCAACTTGATTCACTCTTGACTTAGTCTTGATCAACCTTGATTCTTTCCAACTCTCTTCATTTGGATGATGCCTTGAAGGTAAACATGAATGATCAAACAATCTTCTTCTTCAAGACATGCTTGCAATAAGCTCAACTCTCAAATGACCAATCTTTGGATAATTCCTTGAATAGCACCTTGGTCGACACAAACTCTCCTTGAAACCAACACATGTACTCCAAGAAAAGCCTATGGACAAAACCTTCAAATATAACTCAAGGCAACCATTAGTCCATAGAGATTGTCATCAATTACCAAAACCAAACATGGGGGCACCGCATGTTCTTTCAATCTCCCCCATTTTGGTAATTGATGACAATCACTTTCACGAGAGTTTATACAAGGAATTATGCATCACCAAGCAATGCAACAACCAATAATGCATGCGTATGAGATGCAAATGCTTAGGAACAAAACCAAAGCAAGGAGAAAACTCTGAAGACTTCTCCACAAAACTCTCTGAAACTTCTCCCCTTGAAGACATGCTTGCAATAAGCTCAACTCTCAAATGACCAATCTTTGGATAATTCCTTGAATAGCACCTTGGTCGACACAAACTCTCCTTGAAACCAACACATATACTCCAAGAAAAGACTGTGGACAAAACCTTCAAATATAACTCAAGGCAACCATTAGTCCATAGAGATTGTCATCAATTACCAAAACCAAACATGGGGGCACCGCATGTTCTTTCAATCTCCCCCATTTTGGTAATTGATGACAATCACTTTCACGAGAGTTTATACAAGGAATTATGCATCACCAAGCAATGCAACAACCAATAATGCATGCGTATTGTTGGGTAACGTAGTAATTTCAAAAAAATTCCTACGCACACACAAGAACATGGTGATGCATAGCAACGAGAGGGGAGAGTGTTGTCTACGTACCCTCGTAGACCGGAAACGGAAGTGTTGACACAATGTAGAGGAAGTAGTCGTACGTCTTCCCGATCCGACCGATCCAAGTACCGAACGTACGGCACCTCCGAGTTCTGCACACGTTCAACTCGGTGACGTCCCTCGAGCTCCGATCCAGCCGAGTGTTGAGGGAGAGTTTCGTCAGCATGACGGCGTGATGATGGTGATGATGTTCTACCGACGCAGGGCTTCGCCTAAGCACTGCTACGATATGACCGAGGTGGAATATGGTGGAAGGGGCACCGCACACGGCTAAGGAACGATCATGAAGATCAACTTGTGTGTCATGGGGTGCCCCCTTGCCCCCGTATATAAAGGAGGGAGAGGGGGAGGTGCGGCCGGCCCTAGGGGTGCGCCTGGAGGAGTCCTACTCCCACCGAGAGTAGGACTCCCCTCTCTTGCCTTGTTGGAGAAGGAAAGGGGAAGGGGAAAAGAGGAAAGGGGGGCGCCGCCCCCCCTTCCTTGTCCTATTCGGACTAGGGGGGAGGGGGAGCGCGGCCTGCCCTGGCCGGCCCTCCTCTTCTCCCTT